GCTTTGACGACTTAGCTCAAAGTGACTTATAACGACTTCTTATTTTATGGATGAAGGCCTTCCGAGCCTGAACACCATAAAGAAGTGTAACATAACATTGGCTTGGAGGTAGGCATTTCAATCAAGTCAAAATCCAACCTAAGTACTTGGCCATCTTCAGAGCTGGAGAAACCGCTAGTATGATGATCTGCAGGGGTCTCTTTTTGTTTAACAAAAGACACCTTCTTCATAATGCTACAGAAATGTGTAGTAGTCATCAAGTCATATTCAAAAAATAAACAATGCTGAATTGATGATGAATGTCCTTTCAGACTCCTAGCAACACAAGCATGATAACGAGCAAGCTTTTCCTCAGCCGATAATCTAGCTCTGCGATAACAATCGTCATCCACCTTCCAGGCATTGGGATTTCAACTAAACAAATTTCACAAGAGGAGAAATGCTCAAACTCACGACCACATCCATAACACGCAGGATGTAGGTCGTCATGTCGCAGATATCGTTGACAACCAGAACATCAACGTGCTATTTTTAGTGATTTCAAGGCCAGAATATCTTCTCTTACTTCCCTATTCTCTCACAGAAACAGGTGTGTGTCAGCCATCTTGAAATGGTCAATTGACTAACATGAACAAGTAAGAAAACTCCTGAATGAGTTGATGAAGCACAGCTACACAGTTTTCTAACAGCTAAATTAATAGCACACTAATGAAAGTGTTAACTAAACTTGGCAGCCTGCGAGTAATTCAAGGTTAGCAGAAAGTTAGAACAATAGTAAAGACACAAGAAGTATTATTATATATATATATATATACTGTATTAGTAGCACATGCACTTATGTAAATTAATATAAAATTAAAATTAATGATAAGTGATATTTAAATTACATGATAAGTTATATTTAAAATGCAATTTTGATTTATATACGCTTCTCATAGGGCCAATATAGTATATCTTTTAAATATTTCACAAAATTTCTAAAATTTAGCATTTCTAATGAAATTCTCCAGACACATTATAACAATTCTACAGAACAAGGGAAAAAAAACTCCATTAAAGTCAATAAAAATCTGAATACAATAAATAAAAGCAACTATAGATTTTTTACAATAATGGTCCAAACTCCATTTAACTTAAAACTCCACAAAACTTTACAAAAGTATTCTATAGAAATTCTACAGAAATTTTTTGTTTTTTGTAAGGGAGCAAATTTTGGGTAAAACAGGATGAAGCAATGCACCAATAAATTAGATCTCTACCTCTTTATTATTATTAATCATGTGAAAGAAACTGACATTTTAGAACAAATGATTTGCATAAAGTGTACATACTTTGCATAATTTAACTTGAAAATAAGTCATAAATAAGTGAAAAAGTAATTGTTTTGTAGAATCACAACTATATAGTATTTCCTAATATTTGTTTTTTCTTTACTTGAGAAAAATACATATGATGTAAAAGATGTATCAATTCACTACTTGAAGACAAATATTAGGGAATAATCATTATCACATTTACAAGCCATATTATTATTTTGAAAAGAAATCAATGAATATTGGAGCAGTAGCACAAGACTAAATCACATTCCATAATTTTGGCAAATTTGTTATCGGTAGTATTTTGTGTTCCATACATTATTACATAGATTAGAAAATAAAATAATAATTTCCTTTAATTTTCTCTGTGAGCAAGTAAGTAAATGTAATGTTGTCATTTATTAGGAACATCCATTCATGTGTTTTCATTTCATTTTTTGTTTTATTTTTCAACTTTAACAAATTATCACATGGACCTCTATTGAAGCAATAGGACAACGTTCAGCTCTATTGAAAATTCTGGAATGAAGTATATTTCAGTAAAATCACCTGATCGACCAATTCACAATTAAATATAATTCATGCTTGACATCTCATTAATAGTTCAATCATTTAAATAGCCACCCATGTATATTTTATGATCACAGGGCAATGGAATCAGTCAAGCTTGAGACAGTTTCACTAACCATACCACTGATACATTCTGGGGTAATAGAAAACTGGAAATTAATTATCATACATACAAAAATTAATAAAAACACCATGAATATTGGAGCAGTAGCATAAGACTAAATCACATTCCATGTTTTTGGCAAATTTGGTACCGGTAATTTTTTGTTTTCCATACATGTATAACTGAATAAAAATAACCTAAATGACCAATAAAAAAATTCCAACTGTATCTGTGATGTTTACTTATTTATTCCATTAAAAGTTACGTCATTACTTATTTTGAACCGCCAAGATTATTCTGAATATTATATAGATTAGAAAATTAAATAAAATTCTGCAAAAAAAATGCATCTAATTCCCTTCAATTTTCACTGCAAGAAACATTTGTATTCAAAGGCCATCATGTAGACACTATTTAATTAAAGATAATGTGAATTTCATAGAAATGAAAACTGGGCTTCATAATACAGGCTCGCCCAGTGTTCACTGAATTAACACTTACAATTGATCTTCACAAATTAGTAGAGCCTATGTTTACATAAATGACAGAGGTGTGTCAATCGTCAAAATAAGTCATATTTTAATGATCTGATCCAGCATACAGTAATTGTAGCTTTATATGCATTTTGTTTTCACTAGAATATTATATCCCCTCCCCCCCGGTACTTAAAATACCAGTCATCTATATTTTGAATGAAAAACTATGTTTGCAATAGTTGAGGTACATCACTTGTAGAACTCTCACAAACATGTTTTTTCATTCTTATCAAAATATAGATGATTGGTATTTAGGTATACTGTTCTAGTGAAAACAAAATGCATTCAATTTGTTTATTCCTAAAACAAATGACTGAGTCCAGCTGACTACAACTCTTTACCATACAACCCATTACTGAAAAAAGTGTAAATTTTAAAAATGTGCACATACCATGCTATTTTTCCCTATACCACACACTTCTTATGTGACCTGATACATAGGTTTACGTGTATCACTGTTGTAAGGTGAAAATATTTCCATTCAATTAAATAATGAAATAAAAGTTAAAATAATTCAAACAATGAAAATAATTTCCACTTAGAGTTTTCATGAATATATATTCACGTCTGTTGCCATTTCAAAGTACAAATTGATTTGAAAAAAATAAGACACAGTAGAAAAATAATTTACAAATTCAAACAAAGTCAAGAATAGAACTGATTTCACCTAGAATTTTTATTAATTTCATCAAGTCTGGAAGAATTGAAATGTGCAAACTGCCAGTGTTGATTGAGTTCTTGTTCATTGCAGTTTGCCATGTAGACATCCTCTGAATTACTTTTACTGCTAAACTCAAGACACTTCCCTGATATTGGATGGTATAATTGACCTTTGTCCTGTCGGAGAGATGAAATACTCAATTGAGTCCAAAGATTATGTGATTATGAAAAGTAAAATAGTAAAGTTGTGTTTTCAATGAGAAGTGATTACTGTACTTCAGTGAAAAGTGATAACTATAC